TCCTCGTCCCTCCCAAGCTCTCCCGGGTTCGCGCGCTCCTCCACAAACCTGCACGGCAGCTCAAACAGCATCGGCTCGCTCGCGCTCCCCGTGACGCTGCCCGCGATGGCCCCCGCCGTCGACGCCCCCGCAGCCGTACCGCGACCCGCGCCCGGCGGTCAGCGCGTACTTCACGATCGCGTGTGCGAGCGCGACTGGGGCGAGTCTGACGCGCTTCACGAGCGCGCCGGATGTGTTCTCGGTGAGCCAGAGCTGGGGGTGGAAGTCGAGCTCGCTGCGCGCGGAGGAGTATCTGGAGGTCGATGCGGAGGGCCTGCCTGCGGCGGTGGTGCTGCCTGCGAGGAGGGAGGTCAGTTTGCGGGCGACGGTGGTGCTGGGCGTTGTGTGAGGGGCCTGTATGCGCGTTGTGTCTGTTGTCGAGTTTGCACGAGTACTGTTACTAATCGGTTTGTTGTACATTTTGTCTTGTTTCCTCTTGTATCACGACCCTGACACGATTATTCTTGATGCGCTGACCACCGGCCGAGCATTTTCTCGTACATATACACCGTCCCCTACTGTACATACCGCCGGCCATCCGCACCGCGCGGAAATGAAAATCTCTAAACATACACACCGGTGCTTTCAGTCACACAGGGTTCATCGCCTGCGTTTGCCCTTGTTGGCATCGAGCACCTCCTCCTTGCGCGTTTCCACACGCTGGAGAAACTCGACCTTCTCGAGGTACCCGCCCCCGCGGCGGTTCGCCTCCAGCTCGTCCTTCACCCCTGAGGTGTCCTCGCCCTCGACGTGGGCTCGCCAGTCCATGGCCGACTTGTCGAGCGTGGTGAGCTTCTTTACGGGCTGCTTCTTCGGGATCGCCGCGAGCGTGGTCTTCGGCTTCCGGGGGCCCGGACGCTTCCCTGGGCCTGGAGGTTTCGCCGGAGTCGCAGAAGAGGAGGCAGTGGGGGCAGCGCTCTCGCTGGGAGACGCAAGAGGTTGTTCAAGAGGCGTGGTAAGTTTGCCGTCGTCATCGAAGGGCTTCCACAGCGGCCATTCTTTCGCTTCGGGCGAGTCCGCGGGGACCTCTTTGATCTCCCTGCGGAAATGAAAGTCAGGACAAGGTCACAGGAACGACTGGGTAGTCAACGCACGTAGCCTCCTCCCCCGCGAACCTGTATCGCTTCACGATCTTGACCATTTGCGGCGCCGCGGGGGCCGAAGTGGCTTCAGGTAGCGGTGGTGCGCTCAGGGATGCCTTGAATGCTGCAAATGCCTCGTCCGCCTGTCTGATCTGGGCAACTCAGGCGGCTGATGAGCATGCACGGGAGAAGGGGCGCACTGCTTCTTGTCCGTGTCCTCCGAGGATGCGGCCCCCGACGCGTCCGTGCGGGCGCGCTTCGGGGCGCGGGCTTCACTGTCTGAGCCGCCATCCGGGCCTGTGCAAAGCGTATCATGAGCCGCAAGAACAAGCCGCTCTTTATGTGGTCGTCACCTATGTCGTTCGGGGGTACATAGTCCGAGTCGTCGTCCGAGTCCGATGTCATGGCAAAGAGGCGGTGGTGGGGAAAGGCAAGAAACGGGAGCGGAATTGCCGCCGTCTTCGGGGTCGCCCATCAAACTTCCCTTGCCAGTGCTGGCAACTTTTCTTTACATACCTCGACCTCGACCTCGACCTCGCTCCTCTCTGTCTTTCTCTCACCGCCTGGGCCGTCGTCATGCCCGTAGAGGCCAGCGACAAGCGCCCGTGTGTGGCTGAGAAGCAGGTCCGATGACGTCACGCGTCTGTCGTCTCGCGGTGCGCTCTCTGCTCTCTCTGCTCCCTCTGCTCTCTGACCGCATCCAAACCGCCTTCGACGCCACCGCACTGGCGCTCACACCCTTCCAACCGTGTTTTTGGCGGGCAGCTCGCGTCGTTCCAACGCTCAAAGTCACGTTCTCGCCCGATTGCGCTCCTCCTCGCAAGCGTTCTGACCGTGCTCGACCGTGCTTTTGGCGGAGAGCTCGTCCTCTCGACTGCGTCCCAGCGCCGCCCTTCAGTGCATCCGTGGCCTTTGCAGCCTGTCCGCCGCTCCTTTCCCTCAGTCCCGGCGCCTGCTCCGCTTGCAAATGGCAAGTCCTCTCTGTTACTCACTCGGCGTATCCGTCTCTCACACCGTTCTAGTGCACACAGCCCAGCACAGCGATGCCTTTCGACCTGCCTGCCGCACGCCCGCGCTCACTGGAGTACACCCCCAGGCATCCTCCCCCGCACAGCGCACGGTGCAGCGACCGCGACCATCACGCATGCAGCTCACCGTCGTACATTCGCGCGTTAAGTGCGGACTCAAACTAGAGCGCGTCAGTGACGACATCCTTGAAATCGCCCCTCCGTGATTCACTGCCCCGCCCGCACACCTCACCGCCCCTCTCTGGAATTCCGCGAGGACCTTGCTAGGACTCTGACGACGCGTCCTGCCAATGTGCGAACACGCCGCACGCATACTGCGCCCGCCATGCCTCTCCCAAGGCACGAACCCACTGCCGACCTCCGACCGCCTCCCAGCCACCAGCACGTCCCGAAACAGGACGCTGGGCCTCAGGACGTTGCTATCTAGGACTGTGTGTAATTCCAGCCCGCGCCGACGCGAATGGCTCTGACAAGGTTGCGATTACAGCTCCTCCGTGCGCAGAAACGCGTGTCTACCACGCCGCCCGGCCCCGCCTCGCCCCAGCGCTCGCATGCAGCATGCCCGGGAGTATCACGACCGCTCCCTCCGTTGTCGACGCCGTACGACCGCGTCTCCGCCGCGCACGCCACGCCGCGCCCCGCACGAGCACGCCGACGTTGTGCCCCGGCGACGCGTCTCAGGCCTTCGCGGACACGATGACCGGCTCCCGTGGACCAGGACGCATGTGGCCTGCGCGTCGCCGCGCGAGATCGATATGTCCATTTTCGTGTGCAGCGCCCGCACATTGCGCGTCCCATGGCCGTCCCGCCCCGTGTTGCCATGCAGCCGCTGGGCCAGATCACCGCTGGGGAGACTCGCAGCGATCTGTGCTGTCCGGACGTGCTCGCGAAGTCCTCGACCATGTCGCGGCGGTCGTTCTGCGGCGAGACGATCGTGCACACATTCCTGAGCGCGCCGTGGCGCGTACGTCGACTTTGGACTTCTTCTCACGGGTGCGGCGCAGTGGGCACGTCATGGGCCGGCGTATGATTTTGCACGCACTCAAATCACTTTGACCACGTCGTTTTCGTAACGAACTGCTCAGTGCACGCCAGCCCCGTCGATGAACGATAATCTATGCTGTCGTGGTCGAGAGCAGTCTCTCGTGCTAGCATAAGGGTACATGTACGTGACTATTCCTACACTAGAACCCCGCCCTCACGAGTTCACGGCCAGACACCTAAGCTACAAAAGTGGCCGTCTCTGCCGCCGGGGACACGTTCCTGCCGTCGCAACTTGGCACCTGTTGGACGACGTGAGCACATGAAAAGCCCGCAAGCTCAACTGATCTGCTTACCTTCCCCCGCCCGCACCGTAGCTCGCATGGAGACGACTGCGCCGCGACGACAGCACCACCGCAGCATAGTCAATAGCGCATCTGCACAGTACGATATGACCACTCACCACGGTAGCAGGAGTTGCCCCGGCCCCGCCGACGCGGTCAGACGAGCGGCGGTACGGTGCGGCGTCGGTGACGGTAGAGTTGTGCGAAATACAGGAAAGACGTCGACGGCGGCGTGAAGGAGGAGGCGGAGGGGGAGACTTGGTGAATGAGCTCGCGGCCGTACGTCCACCCTTTTATCCCCTCCCCGCACACGCTCACGCGAGACTGACGCACGGGCCAGGACAGGATGCGGTGCATCCATCCCGCTGTATCCGCCTGGGGCGACCGCTGCTCGGGGCGGCGTTGCTGCGGTCTCCAGTACGCGCACATCCGAGCACAGAAGATAGCCCTAAATTGGACCGCGCCGCATCCTGCTCGATCTGCGGCCGCGACGACGCCGCATGCCAGGCTCCAGGCCGCCGACCCACGCTCGCCGCGCAGGACGTCTCCACGCCGACGTGCGCATCTCGCCATCCCGTCGCGCGGACGTGGCCTCGGACGCGGACACGGGCGTGCGCAGGGACAATACCGCGCGCGGAACACGGCTGGGTTGAAACGCGCGACCGTGTTGACGGCAGGAGGGGCGCGCGTATCACGCCCGTGCTGTGGGTCCAGGTCTGCGGCGCGCGGGCGGGCGAGCCGACGTCGTCTGTATCCACCGCCGCTTGGTGCAGCTTCGAGGAAATGGGCGCGGCGGCGATCCGCCATCATACGACGGGATGGGAGGGGCAACGGTGAGAGGTGGCTGGGGCGTTTTCACGACGCCGCAAGACCCGTCCTTCCTGGACCGCGGCCATAGTTCGTACGGGGAGGGATCCTCGTGAGCGACCACTGGCCATACGCTTGTGAGAGACGCATCCCGCGTGTTTGCCAAACAGCCCCCCGCTCGACGCTGTGTCCACCCCGCTCGACGCCCTCGATCGGACCGAGGCGGCCTCGGGCACTCGTACGACGGGATAGGCGGGATGGAAGGGCCTCTAGCGCGTCCGCTAGTCAAGGCAACCCTGCGCCGGCTCGTCTGCCTGTGCGCCCCCCGGGCCACCCCACATCTGCGCGATTGGCTGGCATTTCGAGGCCGCTGTTGCCGCACGAGTGAGGCGGAGGCGGAGGTGGATACGAGCTGCGTGCTGATCGGACGGTGCCCGGCAATAGCACCAGCGGCGGACGTTCGCGGACGGAAATTTCGGGTGAAGCACGAACCTGGGATGCGCCGTAATGTCCGCTTCGAGCGCGCGCGGATCTGCCTCGAAGGATGGGTCGCGACGGGCTGCGATACTCCGGGGTCGCCCCTGGCCGTGGTGAGTACACCACTGCCCCCTCGAAACGATCTCGAGAGTGGCTGATTGTGTGGGGGACCCGCGCGGATCGTCTATGCAACGTCGTGTTGACGGTCGCGTCTGCCTACGAATTCTGGCTCGACCGTCGGTGCCGCCGCACAAGCCGAATTTGGGGCCGGCTTCTATGCGTGTCCGAGCCTTTGCGCCGGGTTCCTGCTTGCACGTACGCTTCCGAGGGCACACTCGACGAGCGGCGAGTCCAACTCGGATTTTCCGTCATACGACAGGATGCGCCTCTGCTGCGCTACGTAGCTAATGTATGAAGACGGCAGAATTTACGCACCATCGACATCGCAGTCGAGGACTTGCTCAGTGTCGCGGCGGACAAGACTCGTGCGCCGGGCCTGCCCCGACGTTAACGTGCACACGATGCAGCGCCGAGAGAGCCGTGTACGGCGGACTCGAAGCACGTACACTTGTGCGCATGCAGGACATTGCTTGGACCGCGACCATGTCTCCGATGCGATGCTCATCCCGTCCGTGGCATCTGCGAGTGTGTCTGAGGTGAGTGCCTGCGTCGTCTCGCTCTCCTACGCTCCTAGCTCACGA